AATTGTGTAAATAAATAGTAACTTTGACTTACACAACTTAATAATTCTGACCATAGTTGTCAAATCGCATATCGGAAGGTGTATCGTTTTTTAAAAATAGTGTACCGTATCGTATCGTATATCGTAAAATACGGTGTAATTTTAAATAATAAATAATAAAATATATATTTACAAACTTTAGGGTGTCTAGATGCAATTTATTAACAGATATATTCACAGCAGCGGTCTAAATGTTACGTGTATATAAATTTTAGAGGGTCTGTGAATAATATTTCAAATATTAGAGGTCTAAATGATTAAGTAATAAACCTCAAGGGGTCTAAGTATAATTTTTCCTATTTTAAAGTATAGCAGAGACTGTCTAATCAAAAAAAAAAAGAACGAGAGAGAGATCGAGAGGCAAAGAGAGAAAAATAGTGATCGAGAGGCAGCGATCGATTCACAAGAACAAATTGATCGATTCACAAGCACGAGGCAGCGATCGACATCGCTATCCAAGAGGCAGCGATCGACATCGCTATCCAAGAGGCAGCGATCGAGAAGCATCATTCTCCAAGAGACATCGATCTCCAACAGGTTTCTTCTTTTTTTTTTTCTTTTTATCGATGAGGGTAGTGGTGGGCTTTGATTTTGAAGGAATTTCGGTCGTTCCATTGGAGTGATTGCGACTGATTTACCCAAAAAAAAAAACAGAGACTTCGCGTATCGTTCGTATCAGTCGATACATATCGTATCGTAAAAACGTATCGTGTATCGGACGATACTATGTAAAAACGATACAAAACTCCGATTTGTATCGATTTACCTCTGTATCGTGACGTATCGTACAATACGTATCGCGTATTTTACGATACTAACAACTATGATTCTGACATCAAGTTTTTTTGCTACAATTTCTCCATAACCATACAGAACTACTAGAGGATGAAAATCAATAATCAATAAATTAAAATCAGTACTTGTTTGGTGCTTGTGAACAGCCATTAAATTGAAATACTTCCAAGAAAAATTACAAACAGTCACTGTTCCCTTTCAAAAACCATTAAATCCAATCAAAATTATTTTTCTCTTGAAATAAGTTTTTCCAAATCAGTTCGAGATTTCAACAATAGATAAAATTATTCCAAATCTGTCCTTTATCCCTGGAATACCAACTACACTCTCGCAAATCATAACTTTAGATCAATTTCAATATATTGTAAAACCACAGCAGCAGGTAGGATGTCTGCCAATAAATGTGTTTTGTAATATATGTGGAATCACATCATATAAGCAGAAGATTACCATTAAACTTGGCATAGTAGAACTTTTTACAAAAATCAGCTTTTATAACATGCAATATAATGATAAAATCCTGTCCATGCATAGTTTGATTCTGTTTAATACAAACCATTTGGTCAACTTTCTAATGAATTTTTTGAGACATCAAATCATAGTATTGCCTTACATGCCAAGTCAAACTTTTTTAGATTATTCACAAGAAACTAAAGTAAACCATACTAATAGCACTTTCGTGAGTAAAATGTGAGGAAAGCAGAGAATGTTTAAAATTTCAAAAGCAAGTATATAGTTTAAATACAAAATTTAATAGAACGTTATAGGGGATGAATAAGGCTTATCGATAATGTCGTCATACTTCTATCATTCAAATTGGAATACAAAATTAACCACACGAATTTGAAGGGAAAATTGCATGAATTTTTCGAAATTGCATAACTATACCTCCACGCCGTATTTGATGGCAACACCGGCTAGAGTATCCAATTTGGAAACGGGGTGTTCAATGTAACTGACCCCCCCAGCACCGACAGTCCCACCTCCACCAGCACCACCACCATTAGGCAATAGAGTCGGCGAAGAAGAAGATATCGGAAACAGCTTCGATGACGATGATGTTACTGAATCCATCCCCGGATCCAATACAATAGGGTTTCCCCAAAGACCTTAAAGCAATCACACCAGAATATCTCTGTATCTACACATTGTTTTGCTCGATCTGGGGTAAGTTTTAGAGAAAACGACCAAATATTAGTGGGTCAAATATATATGCAGTATACTAACAGAACCAGATAGATCGAGTGGAGAAGACGTTCATCTCGTGCACTCTTTTCCCGGGAGAGAGGAGGGGTTTTCNAAAAAACGACCAAATATTAGTGGGTCAAATATATATGCAGTATACTAACAGAACCAGATAGATCTAGTGGAGAAGACGTTCATCTCGTGCACTCTTTTCCCGGGAGAGAGGAGGGGTTTTCGTTTTTTCCCCCCAATATGAATGAATAAATGGAGGTTGACGCTGACATCGTGTTCTAAACAAAACAATGGCCCTTCTATTAAGTAAATTAAANTCGTTTTTTCCCCCCAATATGAATGAATAAATGGAGGTTGACGCTGACATCGTGTTCTAAACAAAAAAATGGCCCTTCTATTAAGGAAATTAAATCATAATTACGAGGGTTAATTGTAAATTACATCCTGAAAAATTATTTGAATCTTAATTTGCACTCTTAAAAATCAAAAAACTCAATTTTTACCTTTAAAAATAAAAATTTGTATCAATATATACCTAAAATTAACCACCATCGATTTACTATCTAAAACTAAATTNTACCTTTAAAAATAAAAATTTGTATCAATATATACCTAAAATTAACCACCATCGATTTACTATCTAAAACTAAATTGATAAATTATACCTAAATCCCCTCATGTTGTCACTTAATCATTTGAACACCTTCACATTTAAAATATTACTTCTACATCTCATGACGTTTGTGCACATGTAATACGTAACCCCTTTTCGTTGATATTTGTTAATATAACAGGTAAAAAATACTCCCTCCGTTCTTAAATATCTGTCATTTTACATNCACATGTAATACGTAACCCCTTTTCGTTGATATTTGTTAATATAACAGGTAAAAAATACTCCCTCCGTTCTTAAATATCTGTCATTTTACATAATTTTTTTTATTCTATAATATCTATCGTTTAATGAAACCAAAACATAATTAATATTTTTTCTTCCAAATTTATCCTTAACTTTTCAATGTATTAGATTAGATGGAGGCTAAGTATCTTTCATATTCTTTTTCTTTCCAATACGTATTAAATAAATGTATTTTAGTCTTGTATAATTATTTTTTACTCATATTACAGCTATTTAATAGTCTCATTAATCCATGTGCAAAAACCTTAAACGACAGATATTTAGGATCGAAGGGAGTATGATTTTATTCTAATAAATGGATAAATTACACCTAAACTCCTTCATGTTTGTCACTTAATTACCCACATCTCTCATATTTGAAATATTACACCTACATCTATTAAGAATCCAAATATGACTAAAAACGTCCCCCCAATTGGGCATTCAAATAATTCTATTTATATAATATAAAAAATATTATATAAATACCTACATTTTATTGGACATTCAAATGGTAAATTTAATTTTAAACTTTAGAGTATATCGGACCCACAAAATAAAAGATAATATAAAATTATAATTTTTTATTAAGATAAAATCATAATTTTTTATTAGGATAAAATTATATTTTTTAACGGTTATATTAACAGATATCAACGAAGAGGGGTTATATGTTACACGTGCACAAACGTCAAGAGATGTAAGAGTAATATTCTAAATGTGAAGGGGGTCAAATGATTAAGTAACAAACATGAAGAGATTTAGGTATAATTTATCAATTTAGTTTTAGGTAACAAACTGACAGCGGTTAGTTTTAGATATACATTGATACAAATTTCTATTTTTGAGGGTGCAAATTGAGATTTTTTATCTTTGAGGGTACAAATTAAGATTCGAACGATCTTTCGGAATACAATTTACAATTAACCTTAATTACAAATATTCGTCCCAAAAAAAACTATCGTACCTCTGTTACTTTTATGCAGTTTTTTTTTGCACCTTTATCTCTAATTTAGATTTAGATTTAATTTTTTTATTTTAATAAAATCGTTATTGTTGCTAATAAAAAAAAAAACACATCTCTTAAATGAATTTATAAAAAGAGAGTAAATTAAGGGGCTATTTGATAACACTACTCAAGATTTAAAAATGAATATTTTAAGTATTTAATAAATTAAACCTATTTGATAACTTAAAACTCATACTATTTAATATTTTAAGCACTTCTTAAAAATATGTTAAAATTTTAAGTAGCAAGTCAACTACTTATCACTTAATGCTGAAAATGTTAGTTAGTAAGGACTTTATCAATTTCTCATAATTGACAAATATACCCTCACTACCATTGTGTAATCGCCACCACCACCAACACTATCACCACCACCACCATTGTACCACCGCCACCACCATTATACCACCACCATCGTTGCCACCACTACTATCACTACCATTGTGCCACCATCATTACCACTATCGCCATCACCATTGTTGCTGCCACCACTACTATTGTACCACTATCATTACCACCACCATTGTCGTCACTAACATCACCACCACCACCACTACTATTATGTCATCGCCGCCACCACTATCACTGTCGTTGCTACCACCACCACCATTATACCATCGCCACCACCACCACCACTACCACTGACATTGCCATCACCATCATTATCGCCACCACTACCATTGTACTACAGTCACCACCACTACCACCATTATGTCACCACCATCACAACCACCATTGTATTACCGCCACTACCACCACCATCGTGATAGTGGTCATAAAAATAAGGCAATTGCGAAGAGATGGTTAAAAGAGAATGACAAAATTTGAATAATAATAATTTTCAAATTTCAGTTATTTATATTTGTCAAACAGTTTGATTAAATTCAATACTTAAATTTTAGTTGATACTAAACATTTTACGAATTAAAAAATTCATCATTCAACACTTAAAGTTCAATATTCAGTTTTTAGTGTTCAACTTTCAATTTTATCAAACACTACCTAAGTTTGTCACTTAATTACACCAATTCCTTCAAGTATGGCAAATAACACTATCACCCCTGTCAAGAACAGTTAACTAAGGGTGATAATGAAAAATATGAAATCACTCGTTTATTGTGTTATAAAATAAACTAAAACCAATCCAAGCCAAGCCAAAACCTTGAATTTGAACCCTAATCGAACTGGAACCTGACCCTCCTCCACAAAAATATCTCCACAGAAAGACACTTCTCCTCCTCACATGTCTAATACATTGATCATTCACTTCTACACTCATCCTCTCTATGCACATGCACAAACACATTGGCATACTCATCGCCCCAATGCCTTCTGCACGCTTCAGTGCTACCACCATAAGCCTTTCTCCGCACAAACACAGACATGCCGTGACAAATGTGTAGTAGAAAGTGACACACCATGGCTTGTTTGGGACTACATTTTTTGTAGGTCGTGTTTGGATGGCAGAGTTAGTTTGAATTGGAGACCTTCAAAAATATCATTCTTTACTCAATTCAAACCCACCCATCTGCCAGTCCATTAAGATTTAAATGAATATATCCAGTTCTGTTCAATGTTTGGGTTGCACCTAGCACATCTATGAGTCCCATGGATAAAGGTGATGTAATATAATTTCATTGACTATTATGTTCCTATTTTATCCAATCTAGTAACATGTTTGGTTTATAAATTAGCCTATAATTTTTTATCCAAACAATTTTTTATTTTTTTTTATGTGTGGGTTGTCCATTGTGAAACAAAGAACAATGCTAGAACACCAATTCTTTTCTGGGTTTTCCAATTCACAAGAAATCCAAACAAAGCCTCAAAAAATTCCCTCAATATCTTCCTTCCTATCCTTGTTCACAGTTGTTCATTGCTTTCTGGGTTTTAAATTAGATGGGCACTATGAACTGTATCATTGAACAGTAAGAAATTTCTGAAAAATTTTCTTATAAAAACCATGAAATAGTATCCCTTTAAGAAAAATTATTTTTAAACCTGAAAGTTACAAGTGCAACAAAAAGAAAGATATCCCCAGACAGTTTTGAGAACATGGGAAAGTAATATAAATATAATTACCCAGCTATACATGGATAAAAAGAGACGTTGTTGGAGGGTAAAAGTAAGACCAATGGCTTACGGCTTTGGGCAAATATGTCATTTTTTTCACTTATCTGGTTGGTGTAAAAAATATCCTAGCCCCCCTTTGGGTTTCATTTAACCCACATAGGTAGGTTAAAGTTAATTTTTCAAATCGGGTTAGGATAAATATGAGTGGGATTTCCAGTGCACTTTTTTACTTACCAAACGTGGGATAAATAGGCCCCAAATATTTTTTTCTCCTATCCTACTGGTGTTATCCTCCTTTAACTTGCGATCCAAACACATCCGTAGTGCTTAGGTGTTTAGGAGTCAAAAAAATGGCGTTCGATAATGTGATTCCCAACAGCTTATGGGTTTTTTTGTACATGATTTTTAATTCCCAATAGTCTTTTAGACGCTAACATATTGTGTTTTGTGCTTTTATTTTGTGGGTGATTTTGAAGGTGGACAATAGGTAGCCTTTGCTAGAACTCCAAAGATACACCCAAGTATAGGTGATCAAGCTATAATAATAACTAAGTGAAGTTCAAGGTAATAACATTGGAATTTAGGAATAAAGGAAAAGAAAGAAAATGAAAAATTAGGAGAAAAGTTGAATTGATTCAGGAACAATCACAAGTAAATTTAAAAGTAAAAAACTATTGGAAAGTGACTCTTTAACATCGGGATCTGGATCTCCTCATGTTCATCAGACAATTATCTATGTAATTTAAAAGCAACTCAGTTCATTCCCAAAAGTGATTAGTATAGTCAATCATAAAATATTTTTTTAAACACAAAATTATTTTGATTGATCTTGAAAATTGGATTTGAATAACAAGATTATAAAACTTGCAGAAAATTATAAGTACTTGAATATGTTGTTCCGGGAAGGTGAACTTGATGTGGATCTTCCCTCACGATTATATAGGCATTTTACCTAGAGGGGGGTGAATAAGATTTTCAATTTTAAGCCCAATTGATTACCAATAAAAACCTAAACGGCCACAATTATTTCTTTCCGTAAAGATATAACAATAAATGTGAGAACCTTTTGGTCACCGTAACTCATTTTATACATGACGATTGATTT